TGTAAGAGTTGATACGAATCGAGATTACCACGTGTTTCCGCTGTAGCAGTATACAACAACACGATAATGTGAACATCAATTTTCATGATTATTTTATGATGGAGAACATCACATCAATTCATCAGATAAGACGGTCATTCCTTTATTAGAGTATTTTCTTTAGAGAAGTGGACAGGCTTTCGCCTACATCCACGTTGAGATCATGTAGGCGAAAGCCTGTCCACTTCTCTAAAGAGAATAGTATTAGAGGTGAGTAAGTATTGGTTGAAGAGTTTAAAACTGTTTTGAAAGTGCATTTATTCAAGTTCAATTGAAAACAAGTGGTACACTGTGCACACTGATACTGATACATGTACATGCATAGGTTAGCCGGTATGAACTCGCATTATTAGACTGATACTTGTTCAGCTAATTTTGTGTTGTTTTTGAAGTGTATAACTTTTGATGACCACCCCAAGTACCATTCAAAGTAAAATCAAGTTTGGCATAATTCTTGAGAGATGTCGTCTAACACAAACACATCGAATTTTTTAGCATATTTAGGGTGCTGGTTTCGGAACGTTCAGCTGTAAAGATCCACTTACTAACCCTACCATGCAGGAAAGACCATGATGTGGAGGACACAGGTGCTTATTATAACCAATGAACAGGTAAATCATTTTTTCTTTCTTTTTGTAGTGAAAATTCCTGTATCTCTAAACATTAATTCTAAATAAAGTGAACTTTTAATTGTATTTATTTGATATTGCATTCACACATTGACTAATATTTTGAAAAAAAAATATGTGATACACATGATATTTATAATGCATGATTATGCATGTAAACTCGCCATTTTACCACCCATTATGCTCCAATATGGAGCCAGCTTTCTTTTATAGACTGCTGTGGTATTTTCAATCTGCATGATGTATGTGAATAGAGTTTCTGTTTCTCAATTTTCAGTTTCTGTTGAATTATCACATATACATGGGTGGTCAAACTTCATTCAATGGATGGCTATTCGTCAACACTCTCATGTACACGAACAACCTTGTTTGGAGAATTTTGCCCTGGAGTAAGAGTTTTCAGTCCATTGTGTCCTTTCTCTTAAAAACCCTCTCAGCTGAAAAAGGTATTTTTTTTTTTAAATTTTGATAGAATTAATGGGTATATTATTTCTTTTAGCTCAATAATTGACTGAAATGATGGTTTATTACTAGGCTGGTAATTTTTTAGTCATAATACATTGACGTCCCCATACCATATACATAAACGAGGGCTGTTCGGAAATTATTGAGACATTTACTTTTATTCCACAAAGGACAGAGATAAATTCATGAAAATTCGTCAACATTTTATAAAGCACAAATGAAACAAATCTAATTTATAGGATAATTAAATAAGGTTCAGTGAAGTTATAATTAAAACATGCATATGTCTATTGACCTGGAGCAGCATCGCTACGTCATTTTAACGTCACGTCAGCCGGAGATGTTTTCTCATGTGAAACGATTGGGAAGCTTTTATCCTTTCCTTCTATGTTATCACATATAACATTCCAAAAATCAAACTGTCTCTTTCTTAAACGATTCTATAAAAAATAAAATAAAACGTGTGCTGTTCATATCCCAGTGTAAGATATAAACGAAGTGTCATATTCAGGTTGACTTAGCCTCATGCAGTACCTATTTATGCAACGCGGGCCAACGTTATTTAGTCCCTTATAACTGATGGTCATCCTGAGCTTTTGTTTTTAGTCTGGTTGAATTATTTGTAAGAAAAAATATACCAATGAAAAAACAAACCTTTAAACATGATTTATGGCATTGTTATTGTTTTAGCAGGTCGTTTAGTCTGGACAAGAGTTCTCCATAGCGCGACACAAAATTTTAGGTATGCTCACTGCGCCGCTTTAACGTCAAAATCCAGTTGGTCGTCCTTGTTAGATTTCTATACCGTGCTGAATTTTTTTTAATGGTCTCCGTATTTCTAATCAAAATTCTAAGAAATTTGCATAAAATGAAGACAAAAATAAATTGAAAAATTATATACATAATTTGAATTATTTTCGCTCTTACTATGAGTCCACCGGGAGTTTAAACGTTGGTGTTCCATATTTTCAATAACTGATTTCCTGACTGCGCCGGGTACCCCTACCATTGACACATGAATATACCATTGAAAAGAAGAAATAAAAAAATGTAATATATTTCCTGCTTTTATTAATTCTAACTGTCTGTCAAACATATATGCAAATTTTTACCGAAAGACGTTCATTAGAAAGAAGAATATACACAATGTCTCAATAATTTCCGAACAGCCCTCGTAACTACATGTATCACATAATAAATAAACTTTATAAATAAATACTTTTAATTTGAAAAGGAAAGTTATTTCAACATAATCAGTGTGTTAATTCTAGCTTTCTTACTTTTATATATGTAAATTTACATAAATTTTATAATAGTTATACTTATTTAATTATAAAAACTTAATCTTTTATAGGATAGAAACTAATTGTCCGAATACAATCAGAACTGATTATGTCTTGGACAAGTGAAAGGAGTTCCTCCAGTCTTTCAGAGAGATGGCAGTTGATGAAAGAATGGTGGTCACAAATTGAAAGTGCTCTGGTATTCAGCATTTTGTGATTGATGTCTGATTTGGAATTCAGTTAGCAATATTTCTGGATTTGTATATTTGGGTAAAAAAAAAATTAAGTGATTGACTAAACGTTTTGCATTAAATATTGCGATAAATTAATTTTTTTTTCAAGATGACAGTTCAAGTCTTTATTGTACCCCTAAAGCACTTGGCAAAGAATTTAAAAATCTTGTGATGAAGTCAGTTAGTTTATACTGCCTTGCTGAATTAAACATTGGGGGGAAAATTCATGATAATAAAGATGATTTTTTTTGGTATCAAGAAATAGATTTATTTTTGTTTAACAGAAAGATTGTATAGTAGTTACTGTTATGAAATTTTTACATCACTGTTCAGCCAAGCCTGTCTGTGATTTTTCATTGAAATTCAGGTTACATTGAGTTAGGAAAGAAATTTAAAAACCTTTATTAGCCAATCTTACAGTAAATGTATGGGAGTTGTGGGTTTGTCAGTTCAATTTGCTTGTAAATATCCATCATACGTTGGAACATAGTTGCACTGGGGGAAAGTACTGGGTTTTTTTATTTACTTAATATTATGATTGTGAACTCTTTTTTAAAAAAACTGGAACAAAAGAAAGCCAATTCTCAAATTGTACTTCAAATTTTAGAGAGCTTGAATTTTTTTGTTATACTTGCATTGTCAATTATTGCATTAAAAGACCAAGTCAAATGTTTCTCATCAAACATGGCTATTGAATATCGGTATTCTTCTCACAAATCCTTAGCTTATCTTGCTATCAATATATAGTCAGGATTTTTTTTCGAGTCATGGTTAAAGTTTATAGACATCATTTGACCAGACAGCAAGTGCTAAATGACATTATCTACATTCAGGATATTTCTGGACTCTCGATAATGAAAAACTCATGTAAACAATGATTCATAAGATGCTAGAATTCCATTCTTTAAATAGGTATGGCATCATCCAACTTGAAGATGATGTGTACATCATGTAATCTGGAATCTATATAGCAGAAATAGACTTGCAAATATACTAACAAATAAACCTATCTGCTTGTTTATTATTCTTCAGATACTTCATTTTTGAAAATGCTCTTTATTTCTATCAATAATGCAAGCTGTGATTCGAGATCATGTGACCTAAACAATACTGACTTTTGATAGCATAATAGGCCAAGGGTTTGTGAGAAGAGTAGCGGATCAGATATCCTTGGCTTCCAAAGATAAGCAAATGCATGCCACATAAATTAGATGAATGAAAGGATTGTAATGAAAAAGCCACTTATTTGAAAAAGAGATTTAAAGTTCCATGCATTGTCCATCTTGTGAGATTTCTTCATACTTATCAAATGACAAAAATTGTTTTAACAAGTGACACAATAAAGCCATGAAATCTGTTAAAAACTAGAAAATTTAAGATAATTCTTGTAAGAAAAGAAAATTGTAAGTATTTTCTTATATTCCAATAGACAAAGAAAATTGTGGTAGTTTTTGAAAATGATGAAATAAATACTTAACTGTATAATTTATGAAAATTTGTTGATAACTGGTTGCATTTCTTTTTTACCATATTATTTTAACAGTATGTGTCACTAAGGTTGATATACATGTAATCACATCTTACAAATTTTATGTCAGTTCACTTAAGTTATAGATATATTTTTTGAATGGCAACCAAGATATGCAAAATAAAAAAAAAGAACAATTCATTCGTGTAATATCTCTGTGGATTTTGTCGTTCACAATTTTATACGTCAATTATTAGACAATATGTCCATAATTATTGCAGGATTTCAAAATGGATATGTTCTTGCAAAATTAAGGCAGAATTCTGTATTGAGATGACCTTGACCCCATAAGAAAAGAAATATCAAGGTCAATACTTAAGACAATTATCTGATGTACATGTTTGTTCTATACATTATTTTTGCCCCATATCTTACTTACAACATCATGAAAAGCACAAAAGTAGCTTTCCATGAATGAGCGGTAACAAATTTATACAACCGAAAAATGAAATTTTTGTTGTTGCTTAGCAACCACTTAGAGGTCATTGAACACATATTTAACATAAGTGGTATATGGATGTTGTAGTTCAGCATGATGCCTTCTAAAGATTTTATCCAGAACTGTCTATTTCAGCATTCATTGTTGTAAAATTTTAGCTAGAATATTGAAAAGTGTTGAAGAAACTGATAGAATTCTGCACTTATTTGACCTTTGATCTCCTAAAAATAAGCCTACTGAGGTCAAACTTTAACACAAATATTTACTGTACATCCCTCTTAATATTATGACCCCTATCTGACATTAAAAGGTAATGGAATGCATAAATGTGATTTGGATGAGCAAAAAAACAAGAAATACTGCCCGAAAAATACAAAATACCCGTTGTTTAGCAACCTCTTTAAAATCTTTATTTTGCAGAATTGAAAAAAAAAAGTTTATGTGAATAATGTAGTTCAGTATAATGCCCTTTTGTGAGTATATTCTAAATTTCCTATTGCAACATACATCATTGTAAATTTTTAGCTTAAAGATTAAAAAGTGTCAAAAAATTCAATAAAATTCTGCTCTTATTTGACCTCTATTTCCAGTAGTAAGGTCAGTCGTGAGGTATCTGAATATCTATGGAATATCATCTCTGGAAAATTCCCTACAAAATGGTATGCATTATGCCTAGCTTTCCCTTTGGATAAAAAAGTTAAAAATTAATTTATAATGATATGTCAAAAGGTCTCCAAAGTCGCTTAAAATGCACCGGTAGAGAAAGGGTTGAATGAAAAAGATAAAAATGAGGGAAATAAACACAGTTTTGTTGAAAGTGCAGCACCAAAAGTTTTCTCAAGCAAGTAGTCATGAATTTCAGTAAACATCCCTCTTATCTCGCTCCTTTTTAACCGGATTGCTATAAAGAGTTGATTATTCACACAATAAGCTCACAATGATAGAATTATTTAAATGACAACGACGTTTATTTTTGAAATTCATTGTTAATCAAGACAAATTGCATCCGGCATAACACATAAGAACCAATTCTACATAGCTATAGATATACTTACCTATTAACCTTCATTTTCATCAATATAGCGGAATGACACGCCTGAGCACTGTAAGAAAACAGTATGCCCAGGTATTTAAACTGGTTTGTTGTTGATAGTTACCAGAGTTTGTTTAGATCCATATACAACACACAAAATGGATGAAAGGAAGTCGAGAGTCCGTCTTAAACAGCACACAAAAAGGATGAAAGTAAGTATTCATACCGTGGGGTTATTTTTTTAATGCTATTCTCATTTATTTTTCTCATTGCATACGTTTTGAATAAGAAAACGAAAGAGGTTTTATCATTACAGAAAAAAAAAATTTCAGAAATAGAAATGAAATAGTGTAGCGACTAATACAAAGTCTACTTTAAATGGCACACAATAATTGGCAAGTCTTTTTTCTCAAAATATTCAAACAATAAGGGTGAGCAGGAGGAGAGAAAGTACGACAGCAAAATGTTTTTCCGCCTCAAAATTAAATCAATGTACAGATAAGTTGAATAAAAATTCTTATTTCCCATGTAGCTTGTAACACGAGCTTTGATTGGTTACCAAATCGGGTGTAAATTTCCGTACACCCGAATTGAGCCGTGGGTAAAAATTGTGACGTCACAATGTATAGTTTGTCTATGATAAAAAGCAAATAATATGACGTCACGATGCTTTGTAGGACGTAGTAAAACTTATTGATAGCTTCAAAGGACTTATTTACAAAGAATTTATTTTCGTACATAGAAATAAATTCGTTATGCAGAATAAAACTCCGGGGTAAATCCCCATACACCTTTGATTCTACCTGGATAACTAATAGTATTTTTAAGAATTTAAATACCTTCCCCACGTATCTTGGTGTCATTATTGCAAGTTAAATTCGTTCTGGCGCATTACATAAATAAAATAAACATTCACATTTCATCTATATTTAATTTGAATTTTCTCGAAATAGGTCACTTATACACATTAAATATGATAATTAAGAGGAAGAAGGTTCTTGAGCTAAAAAAAAATACTTGTCATTCAATTTTTTTCGTATTTTGTATATTATAATTATGTTTCACATACCTTAAAGCAATTAAATTATTAGGTTTCTTACCTTATTTTTGAGATATTGATTGACAAATACTATGCCCTACAGTATCTAAGTGGAGTTTTAAATCTTCATGTTCCCGGGCTCATTACTCTGTCCTTAATGGGAATTTTTAAGCCTATATAAAAAATATGTAAGTGAACCTGTATCTTTTAAAATATTTCAGGATATGAATAGGGTTTAAAATTTGAAAAAAGCAAGTTTCTTCTATCAAACTGCATCTGGATATAGAAAATTGCATACTTTTTAAAGAAAACTTAAACAACAGAAAACGTAATTTACAAAAAATTCTATCATTCACTATTTTTCAATTTACGTTGAAATGCAAGTTCCTTCAAATTATTTATTAAAATATTAAAAATTTGAATGGTGAAGCTGACTTCAATATTTCACAGGTCATCGTTGTAGAAGACATAAGCATGACAAAATAGTGTCATATTTACATTTCTTGAGTACGTGAAAACCAAATATGACGTTACACAAAAGCTAAATAAGCGAAGTAAGATTTACCTACATACGATTTCTGTCATCAACCATGCAAAAATAATTTTTATGTTCCCCGTTTCTCAAAATATTTCATCACATACTGATTATGACCTGTTTTTACAAAATAATACCGCTCCTGTATTCACCGAGTATGATCTTGCTGTACTAACAGATCGTGTATGACGTCACCGACTTGTTGGACAATAAGGTTAGGGAAACAGAGTAGTGGATCTATCTTTTTCATAATTTGTTAATGTTTACAAGAATGTTATAACTTTTTATATTTTTTTTTATTTCAGATGTTAATTAAGGTAAAAAAAATGTCATAAATTTATACAAGAACTGATGCTTTACACGTTTTGCACTTATAAAAAGGAGACTATGACGTAATTTAACAGGGTCATGTGACCATGTGTCCTTCATCCCCTTAGTTTCAGCTGAATTGTTCGAAAGATATTTAGGTGATGATTTTTTTTTAATTTTAGATAGGAATTTTACAAACGAATTTGTTCATAAAATATGCTTAAAAAATTCTATTACAGTCTGCAATATAATTCCCTTCAATTGATTATCACTATATCTATCCAAATTTCAAACAAGTAAACGTACATAATATAGTGGAACAATACCTTCTGACAAAGAATTATACTCATAACAACTAGTACATGAAATATATGGAGATAACGAACAATACTTAAGTTCAAAAGTCCATTAAACAATACAAAATAGGAGCAGAGCAAACACGGACCTCCAAAACAATTCAGTTTGTAAATAATGGCCTAACAATTAGTATGGTATTATGTATATTACTTATATTACAAAAATCTTTTAATGTTCCATCTTATGTTATATATCAAAGGTCAATTTTTAACTGTTATTTAAAACAGAAAAGACTAGAAACTAAAGAATATATCATGATGTCAATTGTTAACTAATAATTATAGTCACACATGTAACATGCCATATGACTGTCTGTTATTAAATGCAAAGTAACTTCTGATGCATTTAATGTAGAGACCTGAAATTTAGACATATTTATAAGGGCTCTCGGTTCTTTTAGTACAATAAAGGTCAAGGTCATATTAAGAGGACAAAGGTCAAATATAATGACGTCAACTACTGACTCTTTACATTTTTTACATTTGATTTATTTGAATTCCCCAAAACATCTGAAACCGCCGGTTCAAATTTCCTCATTTTGACATATTTTAATTTGGGTTTCATTTCTATTATTCTGTTGATTTTTTGCAAAAATTTATATATATATATATATATATATATATATATATATATATATATATATATATATATATATATATATATATATATATATATATATATATATATATATATATATATATATATATATATATATATATATATATATATATATATATATTAGGGATGTCAACGAGTACCCGATTAACCGGGTAATCGATCGAACGTCCGAGTATCAAATACTAAAATTGGTACTCGGTTACTCGGATGTGTATTTTCTCTTATTATAAAGTACATATTTTTATCAAAAACCTATCAAAAATAACATCGTGATCTATTATCTTCATATCATTTTAAAGTTATTTACTTAATATATGGCAGCGAAATTGGACATGCATAGAAATGCCGCTACCCACTTCAAAATAAGTAAAGATTCAAAAAAAAATGTTTAAAGTCAGTTTCCATAGTCATTTTAGTGTATAGGGGGAAACAACCAATATATGAAAAATATTAAACTAACGATCCAAACAATGTCCGTTCCTTCTCTTTCGCTAATCTAATCATCACAAACTTGCGTAACAGATTGTCCTTCTTTTGCGTTGATGAAATTAGATCCTAAACAAGAACTGTAAACCGTTTGTAATTTTTGATGTATTAATTGTGTCTTTTGTATTTATTTAGTACAAAAATCATTTCCGTTGGACTCCATGTTTATATACATTTAAAAAACGTGATAAAAACAGCTATTGGGTTTAACAGATTAACAATTAAAAATTAACGAACTTGTATTTATATTTTTAACGAGTACCCGGGTACTCGATCGGAAAAAGGTCCGAGTAACCGATTATAAAAAATTGACCGACTTGACATCCCTAATATACATATATATATATATATATATATATATATATATATATATATATATATATATATATATATATATATATATATATATATATATATATATATATATATATATATATATATATATATATATATATATATATATATATATATATATATATATATTTGGGATGTCAACGAGTACCCGGTTAACCGGGAACTCGATCGAACGTCCGAGTATCGAATACTAAAATCGGTACTCGGTTACTCGCATATATATTTTTTTCATATTTCAAAGTGCACATATTCATTAAAAACTTTTATTTAAATATGCACTGTCCATGTCTGTACAGTAATTAGTGTACCTTCTCCAGTTATTTACCCCTTATCACCTATGGCTATGTACATGTATATACAGTAATTACCCTGACCAATCACTTGACACTTACACAGCTGTCCTCACCTCTTGTGACCCTGATTTTTGGATGGCTTCAATTATTTGATTTCAATGTTTCAATCGTTTAATTAGATCCATTAATTATCCTTAGATTATTCAATCAGCATACAGTAGCGAAACCGAACATACGTAGAAATATCGCTACAAATTCAAAAGGGAAGATATGTTTAAAAGTAACCGAAGATTAAAAAAATGTTAAAAGTCAGCTGTGCATAGTAAAATTTAGCGGGGGGGGGGGGGGGGCAACCATATATTTAAGGAATCACTGTCTAGTTTGTCGGGTTGTTGCCAGAGCATCAACGGCACTTGGGATAATTTATGCATGACGGGTGAAGTTGTAAATACTAGTAACAAGAAATCGTCATACATAACTTTCAGAGTTACCAAACAAGAAAACATTTGAAAATGTTAATAATATACGATTCGCGATCACGACAACGGTATTCTCTTTCGCTAGTCTAATTTTTACAAAGCTGCGTCCTTCTCTTAATTCCGTTGATCAAAATGTCTTCCTAAACAAGAACTGTAAATCATGAATTTTCTAGTTATTGGTGTATTAATTTTTATTCGTTTGATACATAAATTAAGTACCAAAAATCAT